TAAAAAGCTTCACATTTAGTTAAAACTCTAGGTATTGAGTAACGTTGCGTGTTTAACTTGATTAAATTCTCGGATAACTACACCGCGAAAGGAACGGCTACCTAAAAATAAATTGTTGAAATATTCCAACCGAAGAGAATACATAATAATAATGTACAACGCTATCGAACAAAATTTCAAATTTAAATTACAATGAAATCATGCATATACTCGGAGAAATTAATAAAAAATACGAATCAACGCGGCATTAACCAAATTTACAATTTAAACCGTTTATAATCGATCCCGGTTTCATTTCTGCAGTGATGCTAATTTTCACTACGCCAATGATGTCAGCCATTTTCATACCGATTTCCTTCGGATCAGAAGCACAATTTTCATGAGTATTTCAACAGGAGAGACTTTCTTCTATAAAGTGTTATCATCGTTTATTCTCGGTACAAGTCATTTATTCCAAATTTATTCCACACAAGGGTTTATCTCCTTGTAATCAACATACTCTAGTGAGAAATCGAGAAATAGCGTGGAACGAGGGATGGAGTCTTTATTCGATCGTAGTATCGTATCTACAACAGTGCCAATTTTCAAAGAAATCTTCTTTCACGAAATTAGTCATTCTGCAACACATTCTGATCTCCTCAGATAAAACACAGTCTCTATAAATTTTTTCAGCAGATAATATTTCAATTTTCGACGTTTATAATCTATCATCATACCGATCTGAATCATTTATCTCAAATCTGATGCTGGGAACGCTGAAACTCTTCATAGCAAACGAAGAGTATTTCATTAAAACTTTAACATAGTCAAAATTCGATTTTGTCCTCCTATCTACAGCAACGCCAATCTCTTTCCTTCCTTTCTTCGAACTCGATCATTTTGATACTCATCCAGATGTTCTCGAACGAAACACGACGTTTCGAATGAAGCACGATCGCTGTATACCTTTTCAGCACACGATGCTTCGTTCGATGGACACGGTTCCCGTGATTCGTACTTGTACAAATTATTTATCCCGAATTTGTCCTCCGGAAGGGTGGAAGGGCTCTTTTGAGTCCTCGCGCGACATATTCTGGCGAGAAGGGTGCTTAAAGCAGTCGATGGAGTCTGCTATATTCTAGACATTTCCAAGCTCCGTTTCTTTTGATTGCCGGATTCATCGTGTTCCATCGCGTCGACGCCGATGCATCTGACAAAAGCGGCACGCGCGCCGGGGATGCACCGCCTAACAAAGAACACACCATCAAATCAAACGGGACCAAAAGCTGGGTCGTGAGCCGCTGCTAAAAGCACGGGAGGATCCACCGAGGGCGGAAGGCTCGATCGCAACGGGAATTATGTGTGCCGAACACTCGACTTTCGACACCGTCGAACCTCTTCGTTTTACTCCAATAAGCGTTCCATTCGCTCGCGCCATCCTCAATTATCCCTTTTACTCTGCCAATATTTTTATCCACCTTAACGCTATGGTTCATAATTTTCAGAATATTTTCTTATTTATCATTTCGTGGCTTAACGTCGTAGATGATTTCCTGCCAATGATAATATTATCAGCTGAGACGTTGATATTAAACGATTTTTTATTTAAATATTTAAATGTTTAAGATGGCAGGCCGGAATTTTATTGCACAGGTCAGCCTCTTCGAGAAAGTCTTGTAGATCGTGGATTTTGTATTTTGAACTCTTTAAAATCAAATGATCCATTGACATCCTTGTGTTGCGTTCTTCATGCTACGGTGCTGGTTCGTTCTCTTCGGGAATTTGTCAAGACTACCTATTCTATAGACAATGTTTATCGTAATGAGAAATTCCAAAAAGATTTAATTACACTTTACCTCTGTTTAAATAAAAAGTAAGGTTTATTTAATGATCTTTGTCTAGGAAGGTTCTAACAGACACTGTATTTCAACTTCTGCACGATTCGCGCCATTCGTGTTTTGTGATTCGTTGTAGTTATTTTCATCGCTCTAACGACACTGTAAACATGTAAAAAGTAATTAGCGTTTCTCGACAAATTGCAGAGATTCTACTGCAAAGTTAATGGAGATATCGCGAAACCAGTACTTCAAATTAACGAAGTGAATGCTATAAATTTACTACGAGTATCTATAGCTTCACAAACTCGTTGCCCTCTGTTTGTGAGTATATTTCATATAAGCAATTATATCGTGCAACCGATAGAAGTTCAAACTACCATGAACCAACAAAATTTTGAAAACCTGACTTTATAAAACCGTTATCGAGCACTCGTAATATTTATCTTTCATGAACGAGATGAAATTAAAATGAGTTTCCTTGTATACATGAAGATATATATCTAATGCATCGCATTGAAAAACAGGGGAAATTTTAATGCTTGCTAACAGAAACAGTTACAGATATATGAATGCAGAAATAAATAATTTAACAAATGGATTGTAGCGAAGAGAGATTATTCGAATAACACATTGTCAAGTTTTTATGGATTTAAAGTTATTTTTATCAACCCTTATTTTATGGGTTAATTATGTAGTATTAGTTATCAATCAATACTAAATGTCTATGAGAATAAAAAAGAAAATTGCAACTATGCTTCTTAGAGATTACTATAATATATAATAATTAATAACGAAGTTTTCGAGATTTTGGCTCATCGTTAATAAAGATGATAATAAAGAGATGAAAGACAAAATTCGTAGAACCACGATTTCTAACAACTACAAGTTTCGAAGAGACACTTTGTATCGTGCACTTTCCTAATTAAAAATTCTTGTTTCTCGGCGGAAAAGGGAAAGTCACGAGGCATTGTATTCGAAGTTAATTAAAGAATTCCGAGGGAACGAGACCGACCATACCTCACACGATCGCCCCATGCTTTGCGAGAAATAAAAAAATTTATGTTCTCTACACACAGTTCCTAGCATTCGCTGTACATTTCTCTGCGTTTATTTCGCGGTTCTAACAAGACAAGTGCAGAAAACGAATGCCTGCAGAAACTAGACATTTTTCACAAGCATACCATCGATTACATTCCAAGAAAAATTTCTAATGGAGCACGATAGCATTGGACCAGAATAAAAGCAATTATGTATGAAAAGTACAAATTTATCATTTGCATCTCCAAGGTACAATTACTTTTAATTAACATCCTATTGCTCTGTTGGATAAAATGCTTTTCGCCCAGTGGTGCACTTCTCTTCGTTTGTATTGCAAACTTGTAACATTTTAATTAACGAAAATAGTAGGAAAATATTACGCTGAAGGTGCGCAAAAATATCCTGCATTCGCGGGAGAGTATGTAATATTTTTGTCAATTTTTGAAATGCGCGAGAAAATGGAAAAATATTTCCCTTATTTTCGTTTTGCCCCGGTCAGTCATCGACCGAAGTGGTGTTTACGTTCTTGCGTCCAGAGATCTTTAACCTGTTCCTTATCTTTGACCCCAAGAAAAGGAATAAAACGAAGGGTATGTGCTGCTAGACGGAAAGCAATTTCATCCCCACATTACGTCAGGGATCAGGTGTTTGCGACTTCATCTTATTAAGCAACGATAAATGCGAGAAGCTCGTTTCACTTAAACAAAAACAATTCTTTCCATTTCTCAAAAACAGAAAAAAATCATTTAATTATCGACTCTATCGCTTCGTCAATACACGGCATATATAATTTCTCGTGTTTAACATGTGAGAAGCAAACGTTGCCATATCCATAATATATGTCACAAATTAAAAAATGATCACCTAAAAGAAGTATGAAAATTAATCACATATTGCAGAATATTCCTAAGATTTTCTATTAATTGTTACGATAAACTTGTTACTTAAGTCATTATTACGCATAAATCATGATCCTTTCAAGAATAGTTTTTAAGGATCATATTCTAATCTAGCACTAATAGCGAAATCACATTTATCGTGATTTTTAGTTATCTAATAAGTCAAGAAATGATTTAAATGGTAATTCTAAAAAGTGTTTTAATATTTCTAAGTGTTTTCATATTTTTTACCTGCTGCTCTATTACTTCCTGTTTTGTTTGCTTCCTTTACTAGAACATCCTGTTCCTATGAAAATTGATGCTTTGGAAGTGTCATGATAATACATGAACATTTAGGCTCTATGCATTGACGGATATTGCCTGTCGTCGACCTGTACACTGTTTTCGTAATCTCGTTCCGACACGTTTGAACTCTATAAACATAACCTGTTGCGAAAATCCAAGCTACAACGTATTATTGTCTTTAGATACAAACGCTAACTCGCAAACAAATGTGACCTGTTACCAACTCACAAAAGCGAAACACGGTTCCCAGTATAAGGAACATTCGTGAAGCTGGAATCTGACGTGGTATCGTAAACAAATACGCGTCCTATTTATTAAGATCACTCTTCTACAGATGTTAAACTCCAAGTGAGTATGTTGCAAATATTAATGAGACATTTTCTCGTACAAAATCAATTTTTATACAAATATATTAAAACGTACGTTTAATCGTTAAAGATGAGATTTATCGGAAGATAGTGAGCTCGAATATAGCAAAAATTCGTACAACGTTACAATAATGAAGTTTGTGTTTCTGATGCTGAACGAAAGGTGAAAGGGGAAGCCAACGACGTACTGCGTCGTACAAAGTCGAACACGCAGTCGGACGGAATTTTGCGCAAAACACCAACCGTGACCAGTAATATGATTTTTGAAACCTCGTGTAACTTTGTCTTCCATCTATAGTCACTTCGTGTACTTATTCGTGACTGTTTAAATAATCGGTATGAAAATCCGGTGTTAAATTACATCATCCCTTAGAAAATCAACCCTTTATTCAGATTTAACGAACTTTCGTGCGCATACGATTTAGCGAAATAATTTCTTGCGTCCGCTCGCCTACGCGAACAAGCGAAAAGATTTGAAGAAGCCGGTAGCAAGGCAATAAAGCGAAGGGACTCGATCGCATATTCTTCGGGTAGCTGGTTATCAGAAAAAAAGAAACAAATGAAAGCAGAGAAAATGGATATTTTCCACATACCTGATTTTTCTCGAGCTTCAGACTTCCGTGCAGAATAATTCAATGAACTGTGCCGATGCTTCACGCCATGGATCCTCTCTGCAAGATGCCTTCACTCGCGAGCCGCGACACGGAGAAAGGGATATCACTTCTTTCTCCTCTTCTATCCAAGTCAATTTTCCAGACAACCGGCTCCACTACTAAGATCGTTACATTTTCGCGTGCGAGACAACTCTATATCTAACCTTCCTGGATACGGCGTCTCTGCTACTTGTGGGATTGGTATGTGCTGACCCGGCCGGACGCGAACGAGACCGCTCTCTCCTTCTTTCTTCTATCTCTTTCTCGCTACGATGAGAGACGCGCACGCTCCAGCACGAAAGCTCGTCGACGAGTAAAAGCCCAACCGCGGTCAGACGACCGAGCCAGGACGCGCCTTTTGAAAGCACCGCGCAAGCTCAGACTATTCGTGCGGAATCCGGTCCCCATGGTCGTGTTAAGGGTCGTCTTTTCTCGGCTACGTTCGGCTGCCAATGGTGAACCCGACTTGCTAAGCATTTCGCATGAGTGGGGCTGACTTGTACTCTATGGTTACACATTGGCACAAGGAGGAAGAAAAAACGCCAGGCAATGGAAAATGTTAATGGATACCTTTTTCGAAGATTTTCCTCTACCTATAACAAGAAATTATAGTTTCAACGTTTTTGCGATTATATCCCATCTTGAATAATAATAATATTTATGGTTGTGAATAAAATGCAATCATTATTGAATATGTATGTCAACTTCATTTGTATTTGATACTTACATGTCAAGTACTGGATCAATTTAATCAGTCTGATATGATGTAGTATAAATTTGAATTAACTACTATTAACTTGAATATATGTAGATCAAATTAAATTTCAATGTTTTAAAAAGCAATAGGAAAGGTATTCATCTTTGACAGATATTTCAGAATATTGTAGATCAAAGTAATGGCGTTATTGTTGAAGCACCTGAAATGTTAGGTTTTGTATTCATTAATAAAGAATGAAAATATTAAAAAAAGAATTTTTATTTTATATAAGTTATTTAACATATTAAAGTATACAATTAACTATGAAAAATTGAATATATAGAAGCTAGTTTAAATGTGTAAAAATCATTCCTTATAGAAAATATTTTAATTATATACTTTTCATGTAAAATGTTACAAGTTTCATATTTCTAATGATTACTTTATAACTCTAATCGTCATACACTTTATTTATTCAATTAAACTAGCAAATCTTTACAATTCTTTCTGTAATCGTATTTCTTATTTTTTATTTAATTATAATTATCATGAAAATGTATCTTGTTCATACATGTGCGTATTAGATTTCTATTTGACTCTTCTGTCTCATGTTTCTTTTTTCTCTAATTTCACTATTAGTTATTAATTACGATATGCGATATATTATACGTATAAGATTATGTGCATTGTGCAAAAAGTTACCTCATATATGCTTCTGAAGTTTTGAATTTCTTTAAAATGTCGGTTGGTTAATGGCTATTTCGATAAAACGCTTCTTTCGATATTACCAATAATATCTGTTGAATATCGATATGTCATGTAGAATTACGATATATCGATAACATTAACATCAAATATTCTTATCGATAGTTGGTAATACTGAGCATTTAATCTGTAAGAAAACAATAAAGTTAATTTCGAATGTAAAAATTAATCTGAATGTTATTGTAAAATAAAGTGTACTTGCAATAACAGTTTTTCTCTTATATTGTTAAGTATGGACGAAACTGACAGTCCTCCAACTGTAGTAAGCAATAAAACTTTTTAAGCCGCATGCTTTACTATTAACACTTAACCTTCTTTGCTTAATATAATTATTATTATTTTAATCTTATGATAATAATACCATAACTTAATGACAATTTTTTGATTAAAAGAAATATAAAATACTATAATATCGTAATTTTACTTTGATATTGTTATTATTATTATTATTATTATTATTATTATTATTATTATTATTATATAAATTAACTTGAATTTGTAACATTATATCACTTACTTTATTCTTAATATTATCGCATTTTAATTACATTCTATATTTATAAAAATGTATTTAAAAAAGTACTTTTTATTTATAGGATATTCCAAATATTTCTGAACATGTACGTATTACTGGAAGCTGGGTAAATAGTAACAGAATCAGTATATACGCTAATAGGAGAATAAATAAGAAAAACCTAGAGAAATATGATCCAACAGTACATATTTTAAAGCCTGAAGTAATTCTATTTTCACCACAATTACGTAAATTAGTAAATGAAAGTAATGGTGTCTTTTTATCCATTCAAAAAATAAAATCTTCTTCTGGCGATGTTAGACCTGAACTTTTAAAACATAGCAAACAATATAGATCTATTTTGAGAGCATGTATAGAAAGTTTGCAAGATATATGTGGAAAATGTTTATCTGATAAAAAAGAGTCAATAGAGAATTTTCTGACCATTTTTTACCAAATAGAATGTGTATGGCACTTAATTGAAATTCTTTATGTAGATGTAGTACCAGGTAAATTATTTTCTTATAATTATATACTAAAAATATAAAATACATAGCAAATTAATACCAAACAATAAATATATTGTTTCTTTAACATATGTTGTTTTAAATTTAGGTGATGTAGTTTTACCACCATTATTAGAATGGGTTAGGTTTCACTTCCCATCTAGAGAACTCATAGCAGTTAAAATATTAGCTCAAAAGACAATTGGTGCTGATCTGGAGCATCCAAATTATTGGGAAGCTGTAATAGGTTGCGCGTTACATGGCAAGTTAGATTTAATAAGAGCTTTATTAGCATTACATAGCAAAGCAGATCATCCTGCTTTTGTAATGGCAGAAAATGTCCTTAAAACAATGCCTGTGTATAATGTATATGGTGGTTATTCTGTAAATGAATTTACTATATGTTGGAAACATTGGCAAATGGATTTATGTTCAAATTTAAATAGTAAAGCATTTATTGTTGATACTAATTTAGAAATGCTTATGAAGGTATTTATAAAATTATATATGTACATATAAAAATATAATGAAATAATATTATTTATGCTATTAAAAACATTTAATGCAGTTCATTGCAGGAGAACAAGATATACTGTGGCAATTTTCACAGTATACAGATGCTTGGTATGAATTACTAGCAGCAAAATTATTGTATACCTCTCCATGTTGTAAGCAACCTGAACTTTCTTCTCATGCCAATAACATTTCCAAAAGATGGCAAGCTAATAGACCTTCTGATAATGCTATACGTGCTTCGATGGAAAGTAATTTACATCATGTTATTAAAGAAATACAATATATGGGTGATAATGGATGGTTTGCAGCTCATTTAGTAGATTTATTATGCACGTGTGGAAAACTTAAAATATTGGATAAAGATCAGATAGAGTAAGTTATTTCATAATTTACGTTACAATTCATGTTAAAATTTATAAAAGAAATATTAAACTAAATTTTATTTTTTATTAGAGTTAGTAGTCAGCTACATGAATCTCTTATATTAGAATATGGTAACACATTAATGGGACATCATTCTTTATGGCAATGTGGTGCAAGTTATTTGATACATTGTCCTACTCAAGGTTTAGCTAGATTAGAAATATTGTTACAGTCACTTCCAATGGGGTCAGAAGCGCGAGTAAATAAAATTCTAAGTATAGCACGAGATAATAAGATGGATCATATCGGTTGGTATTACTTCTTAAATTATTGTTTAATTCATTTTAATATATAATACATAAACTATTTCAAAGTTCTCTTTTACAGTTACTAGCATTTGTAAAATTCAAGGATTAAAATCTATAAAACAAGGAAGACTAGGAAATGCACTTGCATGGGCATTAAAAGCTCAAGATAGTTGTTTTATAACATACATTGCAGATCAGTTTTTAAAACGTTATGCAGAACACGGGAAATTGGAATGTCGTGATCTACTAGAAAATTTAGGATTTTGTATGATGGCCAGTGATAGGCTCACATTTTTGGGTATATCAATTTCGAAACATTAAAGACACAAATAAATTCTCGATAAAATATTAAATATAAGTTTTATTGTTCTTTATTATTAGGAAAGTATTGCGAATTTCATCAAATGTACGGTATCGGAGAATTTAAAGAAGCAGCAAGTTTATTAGTATCCCTCTTAGTTTCAAATTTAACACCGAAATAGTAAGTTAAATACTAATTTATTTTAAATTTAAATTGTGGGACACAATTCAATAAAAGCCTTTATTTCAGCTTTTGGTCGATACTTTTATCTGATGCTATTCCACTATTAGAAGCAAAAGATGTAATTTTGTCTTCCAGTGATTGTTTTGAATTGTTGCGTTGTGTGGAAGCGCATGGAGACGATCCGAAATTTCAAAACGAAATCGAAATCTTCCGGCTAGCTGTTGCTAGAAACCTGGCTCGAGCGTTGAGTCTTGAAGGCTGTCAAGTGGAACATTAGAAAGTTCATTAACAATTTATTATGTAAAAGTTTTCTAATTTTTTAATTAAAAAAATTCTACTATCGAATCATAGTATATTTCCTTTATATTATAAATACTAATTTTGATAAAATTATAATGACAAGATTTGTAAATAAATATTTTCACATATACAGTTTTTTCATGCAATTAAAATGACAAAGAATTTGATTAACATTTCAATTTTCTTATTATACACCATTTTATTATATTAAACTTATAATCTACATACTGAATAGATCTTAATATATGTTCAGATATAAGAACCTTATATATATCTACAAAAAAGATTACATGCAAAAATTCATTGGTTTTCTCACATGTGATATTGGGACCAAGGACTATTCTTGTTTATAGTTAACATACGCAATATTACACCAAAAATTAAATAAAAGTCAAATTACATTAAGTCTACAGGACATTGAAATGTTCAATCATATATAATGAATAATAAAATATCAGTAATCACATTATATAATATCGAAGATATTACACACAAAGAATAAGATAGATTTACATGCACTCAATATAAATTTATGTCACACGATCCTTTGATAAACGATGTCAATTACTAGATCGATCACGTAAATGTGACTACGTATCAAAACCCTGGTCGTAAGGATCTTTTATTTCGAATGCTCCTTCAATGATTTTAACTACCCCTAAAATATCCCAGATTGATATTAAACTATTTTCTTAATTATGTTGTAGCAATAATAAATTGCTAAACAATTAAAAAGTTGTTATTATATTATATAACGTGATGAAGCGTGAGTAAAGTGCGCAGTGGTCATTGATTTGTACATGGTATTAAATGATAACCATCAACCACTCTATTCATATCTCCAACATATTGCAGTGAAAATTTGGATCTGTTCGATTCGAAATCAAATCGAGAAATAAGCTCGATCCATGATTATTTGACCACCATATAGTCAGCGCTAACTAATAAAGTTCGGTCAAGAAATCACAATCATAACGATTATTTTTTCATTAGAGTACCTAAAAATTTATTAACTTTTTTCTTTCTATTATAAATTTATGCTTTCAATAATTTGTTATTAATGACATTAATTTATTATTAATAATAAATTTAATTTACTTTTTGTAAATTATAATATTTACGCTCCTATAGTACGCATGAGATTTTGTAATATATTTATGTATATACGTTAAAATATTTTTGTTACCTTTTGAAGATGAGCAAAAATGAAAATGGATACGGTACATACAAAAAATTATACGTACTACACTTAACTATAATACTGTAACATTAAACTATAGACTATAAAGTTATAGAATTTACGCATCGAAAAATTTTATTATATGTAATATACTATTTTATAATAATTGTTCATTTTTCTTCATTTGTTTCAAAATTTATATTACTGTTTAATAATTAATCAATAAATATTATTTTTATAATAACTATGAGAAATAATAATTTTTTAAAACTATTTTGATAACATAAATTGAAATTATAATAATTTTCAATTAGTAATGAGTAGTTTGATGAAGTATTGAAATTTGAAGAGAAAATTGAATCTTCATTCGTTACCATCGGGAAACTCTCACAAGTCTATTAATAATATCCTCATTATACCGTAATAAGAAATGTGAGAATACAATTTTTCATTTGCGAATAATTTATCTCACGTACGTGGCAAATTATGTCAGCAATCCGCTACAATCTTAACCACATGATACAATATATTTTCATGCACAAGTGTAATAAAAGACGTCTTTTTGCTACATTCACTAACTAACTTTACCAACTTTGATGGTGAGACTGATTATACTTCCTAAATTCACTACTATAAATCATAGAGGGCATAACAAAACCACAGATTTTTTTTTGTACTATCGGTATTTCAGTTTGTACGACATGAAGTCTCATAAGATGATAGGTCTATTCCGTATCTCGTCTGTGGTAATACTATTTATTTAAATCGATCCAACGTTACTGATGCATAAAATTGCAGTTAAAGGTGCGTACAGTCGATAAGGAGAACTAACAAAATGGCGATCACTAAGTGTTATGTTTAGGATCGCACTAGTTTTCCGTTCTAAAGGAATATCAAATAAGTCACTATTTTAATTGTCAGTGTAAAAAAAGGATAATTAAAAAATATGGAAAAAAGTTACGGGTGTACAGTGGATATCAAAAAATTAAAAAATATCGATCGAACATAATTTTTACGACATATTTTTTTAACTGTACTCTGATTTATATATGTTTTGACATATATGTGAGTATTGTATTTATGCACTGAGTTTTAAATCATGCACAAGATTATTATTTAATGACGAAAAGAAAGTAACGATGTTATTAAAATCACAAGAATAAAAATAAAAATTTTACATAAAATATATATATA